TCTGTCCTTTTTCCTGGAGCTATGAACTAAAATGTCACAAATTGCCTGTCAGTCCCAACATCTGTCCCTCCTCTTACCATATAGTATGTTCTAAAATTAAATGTATACCTGAGAATGGCAGAATCATGCCCTTGAATATATCCCCAAATGGACCTATGTTCTTAAAAACTGGCTCTTCTACTTTTTCTACTCTATTTCAGTCTTATGGTGAAAATCAACTTAATTTCATAGGAATAAATGAAAACTGAAATATTCGAACAGAAGGTTAATTACTAACTACAATGAGCAAAGGTATTACAAGTAATAACAGTTTTTGAAATGCCAGTTAATTCCTGACAAACAGAAAAGATTTTCTTTGAATTGTAATTTGGAGGGGAGAGGAGTCAATTTTAATAGAACTACTGAATTTTGAAAATCCCTAGTAAAGAGTTCAGCTTTCTCCTTTATTATGAAAATAACTCCTAGCTTCAAAACTAGCTGAACACTGAATATCAGGCAAAAAGGGCTAACCAAGTAATTTTTTAGGTTAAGAAAGTGTTATGTTCATATATAAATTGCACTAAATATTTTAAACATTAAAGATGTATTTATAATTATATTGTTCATCTCTCAATATATTACCAAATACATAGTTTACATTAAATATGAAGATGTTAAAAATCTACTTGAGTTCTAATCCTGATTTTGTTATAAAAATTATAATTATGCATCTCACTGAAACTGCATGATTATTGAGGAAGTCCTTTATATTCTCTACTCTATTTTTCTTGATTGTAAGACCAAGTGTTTATTTATTTTTGATAAAAATTGTGCACCTATTTATCAGTTGAGTTTGTTTTTATGCCATAAATCATTACTTGTTCCAACAAATATTTAGTGAAGATTTTTTAAAAGAAAGCCATAAGTATTGCACAAGTTATAAAAATATCTGAGTTTATATGTACATGCATAGAAAAAAAATATATCAGTTCATCTGAATTTATCTCCAATTTAAGATCTAGCTAGAGAACTATGACGACTTAATACTCACTTCTAATGCAGCCAATATCATAAGCCACATGTCATTTCCTTTTGCCAAGTTTAACAAAGTAGATGAAGATGTGGTATGCAGTTAGACAGACATGAGCAATGCAAAGACAATGGGCCAGGTACAGAAGTTCACTAGGGCGGAAACCCCAGATGCCTGACAATGAGAAAAACTGGGAAAACAAGGACCTCACCCCCAATGTAATCTTTCCTCCCATAGCATAAAGCTGATCATGTGGTTTGGAACCCCTAACCTTTCATATAACTGGTGATGCAGTTTGGACTCCTTGATCTTTCATATCACTGGTCATGTGGTTTAGTCCCCCTGACCTTTCTTCCTTAAGGACAACATCTAGGTCTTGGTTTTATTTCGGCTGCAGGCCCCCCAAAACCAGCAAAACCAGACAAGCAATGCCACGGCTGCCTCAGGACCAGCTGCATTGACTAATGATCCCCTACTCTGGCACCAACCAATCAGTGGAGACCATGACCCTGAAAGGACACACCTGAAAAGCTGATGAATATTCTGTGGATAAAAATGGGCCACATACTAAACATAAGCTCAGGGAAGGCCTGCATTGCAGCCTTACAAACTCAGAGACCTAAAGTAACCACATAGGATGGTCTGAAATGAAAACTTTATTAAAAGCAGGTCATGGCAGGTGGTCATTTCCTAGGCTAGAATATTCCTTGACAAACATCAATCTTTATCTTAATTGAGCCTGTCTATTGTCTTTTCCATCTATGATAACATTCCTTTGGAATGTCAAGGTAACTTTCCTTTTTCTAGACCCCTCCTGGCACAACTCCCAGGGTGGGGGCCACAAATTCCTTCATTTTTATTATTATTGTGTTAATTGTTGACTGTTAAGTATCCTGTACCTACCTATTTAAAAGAAGTGTGTGTCTATCATTTTACTTTTTTAAAATATTCACCCAAGGACATGTGTTTTTTTTTTTTATTGATTTTTAGACAGGAAAGGAGGGAGGGAAGAAAGGAGGGGGGGGGAGAGAGAGAGAGAGAGAGAGAGAGAGAGAGAGAGAAACATCTATGTGAGAGAGAAACATTAATGGGTTGCCTCCTATATTCACCCCAACTAGGGGTCAAGCCCACAACCTAGTATGTGCCCTGACTGGGAATTGAACCCTCACATTTTGGTGTACAGGATGATGCTCCAACCAAGCCACACAGTCAAGGCTATCATTCCACTTTTTATCCAATCCCAGTTTCCCCAACTTTACTTTCTCCTGCCTCCCTAATCTATCACCAATGGATTTCATGTAACCCACTTTAGCATCCTCATTTTATTGTAATGTATAAAATAAGTCACAAAATTTCCATTTTTCAGAGCATTTTCTCAATCTATTGAGGTTTTCCTTCCTGGCAATTGTCACCAGTTTGGCTCAAATGAACTCATAAAAATTCTCTACAGGTTTGAATGCTTCCTACATTGACAATTCTATGAGATTCTCTTCTGAGGCCTCTCCTAAGATTCCTACCTGCAAGAGACAAATATTCTCAACACAAAGGACACAGTGCACACTCTCCCTCTGGGGAGCACGCCCACACCATTCCCTTCCATCTCGCCTTCCCCCTCTTCTTCCACCATAGGCATGCGTCTCCTAAAGTCTAAGGGACCCCATGAGACTTGCAAACAGAGGAGCAGTGGGCAGCAGCAGCTGGTCCCAGGATTACTCCCTGAACCTATCTCTAAGGCCCCCTTTTCTATGACTTCCCAGTGAGTCAAAGCAGTGAGACCAGCCTAGGCTCTCCTGATGCTTCTTCTATGTTAAGCCTTTCCTTGTTTCATTGTCCCAGCTTTAATAAACATCCCATCTGAGTGTACTTTTGTTGTGGCCAATAAATTCTTGCTTGTTTTGCTGCACTCTGTCTCTTGACTAAAACCTTTCCTTCAAGAAGACAAGAACTGAGGTCTTGTCTTGCCAGTAACAGAGAGAGAAGATGGTACTGTTACAGGATAGGAGGGACTTGTCTACCCCAGTTGCTTATGGAAGGAGGATCTCGGAGTACCACTGAAATAAACATTTCTGGAGGCCCCCACAGGAAGATGAGATATGATAGAAAGCTTTATTTCCATGGAATTACACCCCTGGGTTTCCAAAGTCCCATTTCTCTCAGTCCAGTCAAGAAGTATAACTAGGACTTCAGTATAGCTAAAATAGAAGCCAGTGTCCAGAGTTTCCATTCCATATTGGAGCAGAGTCCAATCCACCATGAGACTAGCTTATTTTGTATTTCCTCACTGTGGTCCATCAGTTGGTTGCATGTAGCTTCTGCATGGCCATGGATCATACAGGCAAATGTAAAGGAGCAGAAGCAAAAGAGTACAAGAATGAAGAGCAACAAGAGAGAGAATTCCTTTGTTTAGGGTATTATGTACTCCCAAATTTTTGTGAGCCTGCAGTGGCCATGCCCATTCTGGCCAACCATCTCTGTCCCTAGGTTTTAGTGACAGGCATCTTTCCTAGTCACCCCAACTGCAGAGATGCACCTTTCTGGTGAAGCTGCCCAAATGACATGCCTATGATATCTGGCCTTCCCTTTGCTCCTTTTCTATTATTAATAACTAGCTAATTATAATGGTATCAATTCCCCCCTTAGAGAGAGCAATTCTCCCCTCTTTGTTATCTTATAAAGGATAATGGATAAATATCTCCAACTTCTTATAACTGCTTCATGCTGTCAAGGGGCATAGATCTGCCTGTCTTAAGGCTCAGAGGTTCTCCCTGTCTGCCAGGGGAAGGAGGAGCAAAAGGGAAGGGGAGATTTCATGCAGGGAAGAAGGATTCAGCAAAATCCAAGTCAGTCTGGTGTCTCTGGGAGGCAGCATAGCGATGCCCACAGGATGACACATTGGACAAGCTGGCATACCCATTGTACTCTAGAAATGACAACTTGACAAGAAAGTTAAAGGGCACAATTCAAAAGTGAGGAGACTTATAGCAACTGAAGGAGCTGTGAGAGGTAAAAACCCATGTGATAAAGGAAAAGATTTACTTAATAGTGTCCCAGATTAGATTGGAGGAGTGGCTTCCCTGGAGGCAGGTGTTTCACATCTCTCTGAAGCCCTTCTATCCACCATATTTAACTCAAACTAAGCTAAGGGAAATATTATAAGATTCCCCCCATGAGAAACTGTGGGCCTTTTATGTCTGAACCATTTGGGCTAAAAAGGTGTTCTGGGGTGACCCACGACAGACGACCTCCAGAGTTTGTGTTTGAATTTTTGGAGCCTTTATTAGCTGGCCAGCGGCTACAGTTGCAGCATCTCACCCATGTGAGAGCAGAACTGCAGCCCTGACCTTCCTCAGTTCTTCTCTCACTTCATGCTCAGTAACGGGGTTTCCAATAATTTGTCAGGCTGTCAGCTTTTGGTACAGGAAACAAGGGGGGAACTTTAGCAACACAAAAGGAACAATTTAAACACAATGCCTTACAATGAGTAATGGGGTTATGCCTGGCCAGAGTGTGACTGGTTTGTTCTTTCTATGGGAACTCAT